GGTTGGAGCGGGTGATGTGACAGCTTGGAGCGGGTGATGTGCGCAGAAGGGCGGTAGCGTGCCGCGTTCCTGCAGGGGGTTTGGATCCGCGCTCAGCGCAGTAGTGGCACAGGCCCCGCCTGCAGTTTGCTCCTGTTCGGGGCAGGCAGAGGTCGTTCCCGCATGGATGGCCAGGTATCGCCAGGACTTACCTGCTCTGCACCGTTCAGGCATCCTTCCGGGCACGTGGCGGGTGCTGGTGTGTGAGGGCTCATCCAGGCTCCTGGGGGTAAAAAAAAACTGGGTCACCAGGATTCCTCCGTGTCCAGAGGCTGGTGACCACAAGAGCACGGTGTTTGGCCGAGCAGGTTGCCCAGTGCAGCGAACAGTACCACGTCTCTGGTCTCTAGAGAATGAGACTTGCTTCCGTACTGAGCTCCCCAGCTGCTGCCACCAAGTGATGAATCCTACCTGTGTCTCCTGTTGCAAACTGCTGCCAGCTGCAGAAATGAGAGTGTTTGCAGCAGGACTGGCTCTGCCCTGCCTGACCCTGGCCTCTGTAGTGCAGCCTTGAGGTTGTGGGCTCAGAAAGGCTGCCTCACCCTCTGCACCTCTTTGGAGCGAAGCTCAGGGCGCTGGGATGTCTGGTGACACTGAGGAGGTGGCAGAAACATTGGTGCTTGATGGAGAGAGGGCACGTGCAGCCCAGGCAGGGTAACCTCTCCAGCATGCCAGCCTTGCATCCAGGCAGAGAGAGAATTCTGTCTAGCACCCATGGCGGCTTTCTGCTTGGTCCAGCTGATGCTCAGGACCTCCTTCTCCTCCTGGAGGGGAGCTGGTGCTGGAGCAGGTTGGCTCTTCCCTCCTGCATGCCTGCTCTCTGGGTGGTGGGAGTGCTCAGGGCGACTGTGCCCGTGCCCACTGGCCGTGACACTTTCCTCCCCGCCCTCAAAGCTTGCTCTGCTTGTTCTGCTGTAGGTGGGAGGAGGTCACACGGAAGATGGGTTGTCCAGCAACCCCAGCATGCTCCACAACCATGTCACACTTCCGTCACAGCCCAGCTCACTCCCCGACCTCAACAGGCAGCAAGACACGTACAGCGGTAAGCGGCTCCGCACGCGGCCGCGCTTGAGGCTCTGCTGCCCGTTAGGTCCAGCCCTGTGCAGCCGCAGCCGGGGGGGGAGATGGGTGCTCCAGCGAGGCAGGTGCTTTCTTGCAGCATCCGTGGGGCAGTTTCCACCTTGAGCCTTTATCAAGGGTTTGACCTACACGTTTTTGCCCCTCCTGTGGGTGCACAGAGCCCCCGGACCCTGTGCTGCTGGGGGGAGGTTGGGCTCTGATTCTGGAAGGCCTGGGAGGTGAGGGGAGAAGAACGGGGAGCAGAGTCAGCATCCCTCCAGCACCTCTTGCTGCAGAGCGGCAGCGCAGGATGAGGCTGGGATGCCGTGTTCTGGTGATGCAGCACGGCAGGAGCA